CTCGAGTTTCTCCCTCTGCTCCCAGAGACACCCTCCACCCTGAGGTCCCACTTCTGCCATGGCTGAGGGCTCCCTGAAAATCCCCTCCACCCTGAGATCTCCAACCACGTATGCTGAGACACCCCCTTCTATCCTGAGGGCAGCCTATGACTTCTGAGCCCCCAACCCCTAGTTCTGAGGACCCCCAGAGGTAGCTAAATACCCCTATCCACCCTGAGGTCTTTCCAGACTCCCTGAGGTCCCTTTCCATCCTGACACCCCCACCCTCACCCCATGAGCCCTGAGATTCCTCTATGCCCTAAGGACCCAACTCCCCCCACCCCTTAATTTCCTCCTAGGCACTCTGAGACCCCTCCTGAAGTTGCCAGCACCCCCCTCTCTCCCCACCCATCACCTCTGCACTCAGCCATGACGTGCAGCCTGCAGTTAGGCACCCCTGCCAGGCATCTTCAGCTCTTTCCAGCCACTGCCACCCTGCAGAGAGCTGCTCCTTTGGGGGCTGTTTGGCAATCTTCATGTTGCACATTAAAAACTCAGCAATTCAGTACTGCACTGGGGCCTTGGTTAGTATTTTTGTCTGTTCTCTTTTGGGCTCAGCTATTTTTTTGGAAATGGCAAAGATATTTTCCCAAATCCCTGCAGGACTTCTCCTCTCCCCAACTCTGCTGGCCACAGTGTTCCGTCACTGACTGCTGTGCCCTTGGGTGTGGCTCCTAAGATGGAGGGCACCAGGATCACTCAGGGAAATGGGAAAAAACAAAAACACAGCCTCCTGGGCTACATCCCAGAGCTGTGGAATCCAAAGGAGGAGGAGGAACTCTATTTGCAACAAGCTTCCCACTGATTCTGGTGCTGGAACCGCTGGCCTGGCGTGAGGCGAGCACCGACTCACCCGGCCCTGTGGCCTCTCACATGTGCCTCTTTGTGCAGCCTGAGGTCCATTTCCCAGATGGTGGAGACAGGGCCAGTGAAGCAGAGTCAACCCGGCAAGTTACAGGGAGGTTGGTGTTGGTATCTGAAGTTGCCGGCCTTCTCCACAAGCAGTGGAATCTAAAGGCAGGCTGAGTTTGATTAAGGCTAGTTGAGGGCTCAGCGTTTCTCTTTGAAAACGATAACCTATACATAGACTACATCAGTCCTGGTATTCATCTTCACTGACTAAACGGAAGTACTCATAATAACTTTTTAACCTTCTGGGGTAGACCTGCTTCCTAGCTGCAGTTTTTCCACCCTGGCTACTCAGAGGCGGCCTCCATTCCTCCCAGACTCTTATGGCAGTGAGTCTAACTGAACCTTAGCCAGAAACCCACCCCCAGTGGTTATTTTTACTTCTTACGAGGACTAACTTGTTGTTTAAAAATCTTTCCTTGAACCCAAGGGACAACTGGACAGAAAGGCTATTGCCTGGTGACTTTGCTCCACCAACTGGTTTTCACTGGTTTGAAATATTAACTTGAACTGTACAGGTCAGCACCAAAAGGGAATTAGCAAACTGAGTCTTTAAATGTCCTGAGCTCAAATAGATGTGTCTGCCTCTCCCCGCAATTAAAAGTTGTGAAAACAAGGCAGCATTTACATAGGAACACACGACCGAGAGGAACACAATGCCAAACACCCCATCTTTGACTCTGCTGCCCGAATTATGGGTCAATTCAGGATCATCAAGGGAAGTTTGGACTTATTTTTCAGAAGGAGGCTGGTGCTTCTCATCACTTACCTTGTCTTAGTCCGTTCAGGCTGCTATCACAGAATATCACAGACTAGGTAGTTTTGAAACAACAGAAATTTATTTCTCACAGTTCTGGAGACTGGAAGTACAAGATCATGGCACCAGCATGGTTGGGTGAGAGCCCTCTGGGGTTCATAGCTGGTGCCTTTTTGCTGTGTCCTCACGTGATGGGACGGGCTGGGGATCTCTCTGGAACCTCTTTTATAAGGCACTAATCTCATTCATGAGGGCTCCCCTCTCCTGACTTTGGGACGTCCCAAAGGTCTCACCCCTAATACCATCATCTTGGGGGGTTAGGATTTCAACATACGAATTTGAGGGGGGACACAAACATTCAGACTACAGCACCTTCTGTTCTTAGTTGCCCCCTTCACTACCCTCAGTCCCGCGACTGAAGAGACACCCAAGCAGACCCACTCCATTTCTGTCTGTCCATTAATGGGAATGGGATTGATAAACTATTCTATGGGGCTCCAGAGCCAAGAAACAAAGAGAGGAAACAACAGAGGGGCAAATTGCAGCTCACTGTAAGGGCAAAGGAATGCATATAGCATGGTAGTTGACAGCTCAGGCTCAGGTGGAAAGGCCTCTTTGGAACCCAGCTCTGCCACACTTATAAGCTGTGTGACTGGAGCAAGTCACTTCACCTCACTGGGCCTCGGTTTTCTCATCTATAAAATAAGACTATCACATTGGATTGCTGTGAGGATTAAATCAAGTGTTATTCATGAGAGGTATATAGCACAGTGGGAAGATCTAAGGATCTAATGAATGTCTAACTAATAACAATGGCTAAGGTCAGAAAAATAGCTACCTACTAATGAATTGGACTACCTTGTAAGGTAGTGTCATGCAACTAGAAGGATTCCAGTAAAGGAAAGTTTGCTACCTCTTAGGTTTGTAAGAAGGATTTCTGCACCCATTAAGAGGCTGGCTGAGATGAACTCTGTGATCCCAGCTCCTGCGGCGAGGGGACCTAAGGGAAAGGAAAGACTGTGGGCCACAAAGGCGGGCATCTGGTTCTTGGCACAGAACCTGATGTGTGGACCAAACCCGCCCACTGACCTCCCTTGGCCCTCGGAGGCTATTTTTACTCCTCTCGTCTTACAGATCTATTTTGTTAATCTCCTTATATTTGCTGTTTTGACTTCCCAGCCAGCTTGCTAATCAGTTTGCCTCTTTGACTCACACGGTTTGCATTTGTCACTGAGGCTTAAACACACACTTGTTTTGATTTCTTTTTGTAAAATTAGAAGCGTTTGATGTAATGACTCTACCTAGACACAGCTGGTAAAGTGAGAATAATGCTCAAGTTTGCACAGTTTAAACACAATGTAGACAATAATTAGAAATGCTATCTTTAGATGTTTAGGATAAGCTTTTTCTCAGAATGGCAGTGAATTTTTTCTGAGTGGGGCTTTTCAGTGCATGTATATACAGAAATACTAAAAACGTAAGAAAATAGAGCAAATCAGTGAGTGCTTTGGTCAACTTGAACGACTGCAGGAAATAAACCAACTGATTTTAGATCTGGCGTTTTTGTCTGAATGCATAAAATCTTTACATTCTCGATAATTTTCATGATGACCATATGATCTATTAGATTAGGTGACAGATTGCAACTGATAAGTTGCTTCAATATGCTAGAAGCAATGCTCAGCCTATGCTCGGCCTGTGGCGAGGGCGGAGAGGGAGAATGATGCAAATAATAAAGATAATTAATCATCTATATCAGGAAAATTACCACGTTTTTATTTCAGGTAACAAAAAAGATATAGTTATGATACATGATCATAGAATCCAATAAAGCAAGATTTACAAATGAATAGAAGTTACTTCTTTCTTTAAATTAAACTACAAAATTGCAGCTGGTTTGCTTTTTTTCTTTTTTAAAGCTAGTTGTTTTAAATTTAATAGGCTATCACTGGCCTCAGCTAAGATCCCAAAATATATTCCTGGGCTCACATAGATTCCAGAAAGTCAAACTTACCAGTATGATGCAAACTTTCCTTATGTGTCCCCCCAAAATTCTCATTTAGTAAAGAGGTGGTATGAGATGTGAGGCAGCACATCCATATCCATCATTTTAAATTGCCTTCGTGCTATATCAACGTGTTTTGTTTTTGTGAGCAAACATAATATCAAGAGACGGGTCCTTCTTGTTTTTTCTGCTTCTCATTTCTAATTAGATTCACCACTGAGCTCTCTATTGCCTCTCTCTGATCTTCAAATTTTTCTCTGTTCAGAAAGACATCTGGAAAAGTGGAATATATTAAAGTAGTAAGTTGAGGGGAATGTTTGGCTTTTTGACATTCTAACCGAGCCAAGTGAAGGTACCCTCAGTATTAATAGGGAGGAAGATTGTTCCAAATGGAGGCTTCCAGAATGAAAGCAGAAGGCAGAGGGAGAAGGTGCTTACATAGAGAGATTTTTCAAAGAGAAGTAGGGGACCAAGCCATCCACAGGGCTGCAGGAAAATGACTGAGCCAGGAGAGAGCTCCATTTTTTGGAGGAGCAGGAAACCAAGAGAGGCAAAGCCATGCTGTCGTTTTAGAGAGACCGGAAGATGACCCCAGTGAGCAAGTAGCTGGTCTTTGAAATTCTTTAAAGAGGAGATTGAACTTTTTATGTCACAGGGTGAATCGGGGTGCAAATGCTCCAGTAGGAATAACACATCCAAAAATTCACTCCAACACGTGAATGACTGATACCAGAACCCCTTTTCTGGAACTTAGCATCGTGATAGTGGTGTGTTTGGGAGCGAGGGCACAGAAGAGGAACAATGATGGAAAATGAATTTCCCTTACTGAAGATTGCCAAGTGGAAGGAGGCTTCAGCAGGGATTGAGCTGAGTGCCATCAGGAGCCTCCTAGCTAGAGGCTTCGGGCATGGCTGTGCCAGGCGAAGAAGACAGGAGGAGGGGGAGCGGAAGGCGGGCAGAGGAGGCATGGAAAAAGGAGGAGTCAGGGATGAGAAATGCCGGGTTTACAAAAACCAATCCATTTCCACGGGCCTTAATTAAAAGAACGACAAACGCTCATATGTAAAAATCCACACCTAAAGGCTCACGGGTACAGAGCGATCAGAAGAAATGCAGCGTGTGCAAACAAGCTTTCATTAAGAGACCTCTGTTTCATTTATCCAGACTGTTCTGCATTCTGCTGGCAACCGAGCTAGAAAAATAATGGAAGGACAGACACACTTGAAGAGGTAAACAAAGGTGGGAACGTTCCAGCTACAAAATAGAACAAATGATAAAGAAGCTAAGGAGGAGGAGAGATGAGAGGGCATTTTTCTTAACAAACTAACAAACAACAACCTCCGCCCCTCCCCACAACACATCAGTAACATAATATTCTGGCTTTTTAAGGGAAAAAATAAAACAAAACAAGACAATGTTGTTGGTGGCCTACTCAAATCTATTCCCAACTCGCCTACACTTCTTAAGACCTGATTTTGTTTTGGTGTTCATCCTTTTAGAGTCTGAATGTTGAGGGACAGGGCTCCTCCCCAATCCAGAGGGTGATTTTGGTGACCCTAAACCCATCACAGTAATTCCATCTCCCCTGCTAGGGATGTTTAGACATAGGCATGTGACAATTCTGGCCATTGAAATGTGACAAGAACTGGGTGTGTTGCTCTTAAAACACACACACATGGGGAGAAATTTGTTTCTGCTTTTGGACAGAGATGAGAGAACAGGTGATGCCTGGAGCTGTTGCAGCTATCTTGTTAGCATGAGGGAGTAGCTGACACCAAGGCAGGCAGAGCAGGAAGACAGAAACCCACAACTTTAATAACTTTCTCAAATGAACCAGCCCTGGAATGCCCTACTTCTGAAGTTCATATTATGCAATATAATTCATTTCCTTCTTGTTTAAGTTCTCGAAGTGTGAATTATAGCTGAGAGTACTCTGACTGATGCAGGGTCACCTGGGGGAGTAGGAGAGAGAATGCTGCACTTTCACAATGACTCTTAAAAAGACAAAAGACAACCATAAGTAATTGCCGAAAGTCTCTTTAATGTCTGTGGAACAGAAGAACTATGTTGGGCTGGGACAGCAAAGGTGGGACAGTGTTACATGTGTGTATGGGGCATTGTCAATGTCACATATGTGACAGGATCAACTCATTGGCTCCAATTTCATCTAATAACACAGAACCCTCCCGGGCTGACTGCACACACAGAGTTTAGGTTATGGCTCCCTACGACCTCCCCACCCTGAACCCCAGACTCTTTGGGATTCATGGCAGTTTTCCTGCCCATGATGGAATGTGTTGGCGTTTATTATAAGCCCTGCTTTCCAGGAGGTGATGAATGGGCCCTAAAGATGTGCACCTGGCTGACTGTGTGTCAAAACCAGCGCTTCTGCGGGGAGAGATTTTTCTTTTTCTTACTATTGTATTAAATCTGGCCACGTTTTCCTTTGGTGGCTCCGGCGTCACATGCAGCAGCACTGAACATCTGCAGACAGTTAAGGCCTAGTGCGGCAGGAAGATTATTTCTGTGGCTGCTGACCTGTGCAAGCTCTGCATCTGCAGAAGCAGCCTCCCTGATGGGGAAGTGGAGGGGGTGGACCTGGGGAGAGGGGAGAGGCTGGAGCACAGAGGGATGAATGGGGCATTGGGGCCTGGAGGGCAAGGGCGGAAGGTGTGTCCAGCTCACCAGGAGCAATGGAGCACTGACTTGGGCACACTCCCATTCCACTGGCGGGGTGACCTCTGCTGAGTGGGAAGAAAGCAGCTGGAGGTCCACGCAGTGTGCATCTGGCAAAGGACTGGACCTTCTTGTCTGCACTCTGCCCTCCTTCAGGGTGAGACAGCACAAAATCTGATGGAGCTCCCACTCTGCTGGCAGAGTGAGGCCAGGAGATGAAATGCGGCAGGGAAGCATCAGGTGGCCTGGCCATGCACGGGCAGGTTTCACGCCTGGGATCACAAGCCTGGTATAAGCATCCAATTTTTAGGATGAATTTTCAACCTCTGCCACCTCAGAAGCTCCTCTTTTTCCTCCAGGAGAGTCTCTCAAAGGAGTGATTCTGGTTTTCAGGGGTGCTTTGAGCTTTGGGATCTGGTGTCAGGCCTTCCTGGGGAAATGAACTGAGTTCAGCTCAAAGAAAGGTCTATTGTTAGATCCTTCGATTTCCTGCAGCGCCAGATGCCACCTAGAAAAGTTAATGTTATCCCCAAGGAAAGACCCAGGTAGGGTTGGCACTCCCTCCTTCCCACCCTTGGAGCTTGTACTTGGTTCTAGTCCCCCGTACCAGGCTGCAATGAAGTGACTGTGTTTTCCTCTCTCGGTCCACTATAGGGCCAAGAGCTCTGTGTCTTGTCTTTAAAATCCCAGTGCCTGGCAGCACAGTGGAGGCAGCCTTGACATTCTGTTGGAGGAGTGAAGGGTTCGAGGTTTCAGGTGGTGTGGGAAAACTGGATTGGCCCTAAGCAGCTATATCTTGCCCAAACCCCACATGGTCATCAAGTCCTATATGCAGCACAGGTGGAACGGAAAGCATTTCCAGGTTCTAGTACTCATCTCATCTCAGAAATAAAAATTCAAAATACCACTGGAGTCCCCTTCCTCCCATCACTTCAGGTCAATTAAACTTCTGGAATTACAGGCTAGAAAACGCAGCTCTAGCAGTCAGCAAACAGGTCTCCTCAGGAGCTGTGGATTTCAAACTGGAAGCCCAACCTTCTGAGACTGCTCAAGCCCCTTTCCACCTGCCAGTTGGTGCCATGACAGACAGTGCTGCAGGCAGGATGCCAAGAACACCCACACTGGGAGGTCCCACGGGGCCCGGACATGATGAAGTGGAGCAGTGGGCCCTCTGGACCCATTCTGCTCAATTACACCTTTCTCTTCAGCCGCCTAACCATTACAAAGATGGCGACCTGATTAAAAACTCCATCCATTTCAACCTCTTCCCATAATTTTGATCGACAACATTAAACGGGAATAGAAAAACATCTTATCTCTAATAAAACAAATGCTGACAGAAAGATGGATGCCAAAACCCAGCCATATGGTGGACATGATTCCGTGCCTGGCCATGTTCACAGCAGTGTGTCTTCAGCAGAAAGAGATGATGCTGAGAAGCTCGAGGACCCGCATTTAATAAATCAAACTGTGCTGGCATCATCAGAATATTCAGAGTTTGCATCAGGATCGGTGTCTTTTCTCACTTGCAGACTTGGAGGTGTTTTAGGACAAAGCGACTTCGGCGAGCTGTTCTGACGCTTAATTCTTTACCGTCCCTGGTGCCTTCGACGCGTTGTCATGTCCGATCCCTTTCCCCGTCATGTTTTCACCACGCTCCTCGTGCCTCCACCCTCTGTGGTCTCCTTGCCATCTTCCAGGGTGGAAGCTTGGGCCACTGGCTGGCTGGACTCAAAGGAGTCCTGGCAAGATTTGGGGCACTCCCCCTCGGAGGCAGGGCCTGGCAGTGGTGGCCTCATCTCCTTCCTCTGACCCTCCACGGGACTCCCCCTTCTGACCCCTTCTGATTCTGCAGCTGCCTGCTCCTCTGTCAGTTTCATTATCTCCTTTCCAAGCCTGTTTACTTCTTCCTCCTCAGAAGGTAACTGGGGTAATGAAGGATGAAAGTGCTTGCGTTGGTTCCCGTGGCTCGGATTTGCTGGGGAGTTGACAGCGGGCCTCCCAGCATCCTCTGGTGCTGTCAACGCCTCAGCAGCAGCACAACTTTCATCTCGTTCTTGCTTCTGAATCTCCCCTGAAACAGACGGAGGACAGCGTCAAACCTCTGGCAGGAAGTCAGCCCTCACTTCCCCTCTCCTCCCAACCTCCGGCTCACTGTCACAGGGCCTCTGAGATAGAAAAGGCTGCTGAAGGGAACACAGGACCCACATAACAGAAGAAAGCAGCCACTCTGATGATCACTGTGTCATTAACAGAGGGACAGGGAGCATTGCACCGTGTTCATAATCCATCTTTTCCTAGCACCTGGTTATCTCCTGCTTCTCTCTCTAACAGTGACTCCTCATGCCCATTAAATATTTAGATTGAGGACAAAGGTTTTGTAGGTTCTGTAGCTCAGGGAAGACCTGGGGCTCTTTAGTAATGAAAAGAGGTGCTGGCTGCCTTCAGGGTAGGAAACTGAAGGAGTAGCGTGAAAGGGATGTAGTACCCCCCATCCCCCCATCCTCCATCAGCACCTCATTCTTTGATGCAACTGCTGATGCTTCCTCAATTTCAAATAAAACATCCTATGCAAAAGCAGCTTTAAGTTCCCTCTCCTCCCAACTGAATGTTGTCCCTAAACCCTTTCTCTATATAATAGAAATTCTCAAGCTGCCACGGAAGGGGGACGAGAGGGAACACGGGGACCTGAGGGCCAGCGTCTAGTCCCCCTTTTCCTACTCACTTGCTCTACGATCGGGAGGACCTGTCTGGCCTCCTTTTGTCAGATACGAAATGAGGGGCAGGACTCGCTGATGTTCCTTCCAGACCTAACAAGCAACGGTGGCTCTGCGGGACTGGGAGCGAGCTCTCAGCACTCAGACTGTGCATTCAGTACCAGACTCTGAGGTTCCCAGAAGGCAAGATTTTCTTAACCCTCAGGCCAAACAGTGATGAAATGTATGCAAGAGCCTCACGGGCTGATTTCAGCCTGGGTAGGGGTCTCCCGGGGTGAGGGCCCAGGGAACACTTCCTGGTACCCCCGGGGGAACCAGAGTAGAACCCCGCTGCAATGGGCTTGCACCAGATACACGCAGATACACGCTTTTAAGGCTGAAAGCTGGAACCTGGGGGAGCTGGGGGAGAACTGCAGGAGGGCCAGAAAGGAAGCTGACCTGTTCTGACCATGCATTTTCCTGCTTAAAACCTTTCGCTGGAGCCTTGTCACTTTTAGGATAAATTTCAATTCTTTTCACTTGCGTCCTTCACAAGGTCCTACCTGATCTGCTCCTGCTTCACAACCTGCAGCCCCATTTCCCACCGTTCCCTCACATACACACGTCCTCCTCTCCATTAGATGCTATCTTTCAGTCTCTGCGTGCTCCACGGGTTTCTCCCCTCTCTAAGGTGAACCATGCCAGCCAACGCCTGTTAGGTGCTTTTCGGTGCCAGGCTTGGTGCTCAGCATTTTACACGTTTATCTTATTCCAGAATGTAAGCAGAGTCCTCATCTGACTTGTTCACAGTGCTTGCACATTCTAAGCATTCAAGAATGTTAATAAAAATAGTTCCTCACTTTTCTTTTTTTTGATAGAAGTATAACATACATAGAAATGCGCATCCTAAGTCTACAGCTCAATGAGTTTTCACAAAGTGAACACACCCATGTGACCAGCAGCCAGGACAAGAAACCCCTACAAACACTGCCCAGTCTAGTCCCCCAGCCCCCTTCCCATCACTTCTTCTGCCAAGGGTGACCACTATCCTACGTCAGATGCCAAAGACGAGTTTCTCCTGGTCTATGAACTTCATACACTGGAATCGTACTGTATCTGCTGGTTTGTGTCTGTACTGGTTTGTGTTTATGCAATTGGTCCATGTTATTAGGTGTACAATTGGTTCATTTGAATGCACCACAATTTTCAACAAATATTTAAGTATTGAATGAAAACAGGCAATTCACAAAGAAATACAAATGGATGGCAAACATGAAATGATTCATAATATCATTCATAATTGAAGAAATCTAAATTGCAACTTGATGCAATTTTTCATCTACCGGATTGGCAAAAATTAAAAGGCTCGATAGAGCTCAGTGTCGCTGAGGATGTGGGGAAACACAATCATATACTAGGAAAGAGAATAAAAATTAGCAAGACTCTGATAGAGCATTTGGGCAATATCTATCACAATCCTAAATGCATTTAGCCTTTGACCTAGTAATTCCATTATTAGGAATCTACCTATGAATATTAGCCCAAATATTTCAACACATATTACCTGGATGTTCATTACAACACTGCTTTTAATCGCAGAAACCTGGAAAGAATCTGAGTGCCCATCAACAGGGGATTCTGTACATACTTGCCGAGATGTAAAATTTTTTCTGGTGGTATACACTAAAAATTTTAGCTTGCCTTTGGAGAGCAGACTTGAGGGTCAGGGCAGGAAGCCAGAGTAGAAGAAGGCTTTAAATTTAATTTTATATCTTTCCATGCCATTTACATTTTTAAACATGTACTTGTATTACTAGTTTAAAAAACTTGTATCACTAGTTTAAAAAAATAAGATATACAACCTCCAAGATTTTGCCACCAATTATCATCTTGTCTTTCCTTTCCTGCACTAATTTGTAGACCTAGGAGCCTATGTCCAGTGCTTCCATTTCCCAGCGCTGATTCACACCTTGGATCCTTCAGTCTGCCTCGCATCTTCCCCACCAGTGAGCTCTCCATCACCAGATCCAATGTTCTTTTCTCAGTCCCCTCCTTTGCTCCTCTGCAGCGTGTGTTTCCACTGGCCACGTCCTCCTCTCAAGCTGTCTCTCTCCCTTTGGTTTCCAGAACAACACCATATTCTTCCGTTTCTCCTCCCATCTAGTTCTGTGAGCCCACTGTATTAGTTTCCTATGGCTGCTGCAACAAATTACCACACATTTAGGGGCTTAAAAGAATACACATTCATTCTCTTATAGTTCTGGAGGTCAGAAGTCCAAAACGGGTTTCACTGGGCCATACATGAATACATGTATTCAATGTATTCACTGACTACAAATGAATACATTTGTTTTCACGTTCTTTACAAAACCAAGGCCACACTCCCTTGCAGGCTCTAGGGGAGAAGCTGTTCCTTGCCTCTTCCAGCTTCTGGTGGCTGCTGGCATTCCTGGGCTTGCGGCCACATCCCTCTAATCTCTGCCTCCATGATCACACTGCCTTCTCTTCTATGTGTCAAATCTCCTTTTGCCTCCCTCTTACCCACGTATCTTACAGATACATGTGACCGCACTTAGGACCCACCTGGATAATCCAGGATAATCTAAAAAGTTTGAATTAAAATGCAGCTTAGAATTTCTGCAACCTGTAACAATATTATTACATGTGTGATCCATTTTCATTTTCATACAATGCATAAAGGCATTCATTAATAAGAATAATATATATTTTTAGCATCTATTTATTTATTTTATTATTATTTTTTTTTGTGAGGAAGATCAGCCATGAGCTAACATCCGTGCTAATCCTCCTCTTTTTTGCTGAGGCAGACCGGCTCTGAGCTAACATCTATTGCCAATCCTCCTCCTTTTTTTCCCTAAAGCCCCAGTAGATAGTTGTATGTCATAGTTGCACATCCTTCTAGTTGCTGTATGTGGGACACGGCCTCAGCATGGCCGGAGAAGCAGTGCATCAGTGCGCGCCCAGGATCCGAACCCGGGCCGCCAGTAGCGGAGCACGCACACTTAACCGCTAAGCCACGGGGCCGGCCAGCATCTATTTATTTAATTAAATAACCGTATGTGTTTTTGAGCATTTATTTACCTAATCAAGTGTTTAAAAGTTTTAAGAAACTTAAAAATGGCTGAACCCGGGTTATAGAAGATACGAAATATTAGTGAGATCGGATGGACCATAAGACTGAAATGAACTACTAAGACGAAGAAGGCTGGAGCACAATGAAGAAAGAGAAGATGATTATAGACAGAATTGATGGATGTGATAATCTACAGACTGGAATCACTGGGGAAGAGCACTATGCGTCCCATCTCAGGCAGGCGGCCCTGACGCTTGTCCCCACGCCCCATATCTCTAGGTCTTCTGATACAAATTTGCTTCTCACATTCAAAAGAAGCTGTTTTCTTTCTCTTTAGCCTTTTTGATGTCCATAGACAAAATCCCAGGAACAGAAGTGCGACTAAATCTACTTTATACTTTCTAAAGCCTGCATTTAGTCATGGACAACTAGGTATTGCTCTCCTAAGAACTCATTGACTCAGTAAGTATTGCACCTGAGAACAAGACCATTACTTGTGCTTACAATGAAATTCGTGAATGTATAAATGAGTGAATAAATCAAGCCCTTGATTTAAAAAAACAAAAAAAACTATGCATTCAGATCTGTTCAGCCAGGATGAAGCACATTAGTTCCCAGTACGTTTCTTTGCTTCCAGTCTCCTCCTGCTCAAATCTACCCTGTGGGGAGAGGGACCTTCCCTAAAGCTTTGTTACTCAAAGCGGGGCCCGTGGACCAGCAGCGGCGGCAACACCTGGGAGCTTGTCAGACGAGCAGGATCTCGGGCCCTACAACACCTGGGAGCTTGTCAGACGAGCAGGATCTCGGGCCCTAC